TTTGATGTGCTAGCTATTGCCACATGATCAATAATGTTTTATCATGTTATAGCAGAAGTAGAGGGATCCCCATGCAAAAAGATTCACTTCCTCCTGTCTTGTTAGTTATGTGAAGGGCAAAATTAGTCTAGTACTTCTTTACTGGTGACTGAACTACCACATTTTATCATATACGGTTTTAAATCCATTCAGTGATTACTGTGGAAGATGCAGTTCTGAAGAGGGTATGTGAAGTGCTGTTGTATCTTGGTGGTAGGGTTTCATTGTAATGTCGTTGTGCAGATGAAGTTGTACCTGTACATAATGCATATTATGCATAAAGCTATAATGAATCAGGACCCTTGTCTTGATAAGTTTTTTATTTTTTACTTTTGGTACATCCCTCCTCAGCTTCTACTTTTATCTTTAAAGGAAATACCATCTTTTCCCCTTTATTTTTAAACCTCTTGCTTCTTTTGTGTTCTGCAGTTTGAACAATAGTTTGTGCTTTTTATTAGGTAATGGAGAAATTTTTGTTGCAACTTGGAATTATTTTTATTTTCTCATCTGTTACAACTTTGGTTTTATAAAACCCATGGTTTTGCAGTTGTGGGTTGAGAAAGTATTTACATATAGATTCAATTATTCCTGTACTTAATTACTTATGCTCTTTTTAAACTTTTTCTTAACTGATACCCCTATTTGGGGATTTTGAAGTTGGCAGTACCACAGAATTTTTCAGCTCTAGCCTTCCTGGCATGTTGGTAAACTTCACAATATTTACCTAAACTCATAGCTATACTTCTGCTTTTCCATTCACTGCTGCACTAAATGTAAGCTGTAAGACACCTATTGCTTTTTTGGAGACCTAGTCTACCCTTCCCTATTCTGCATTTCCTCTAAAATGTTTTCTGGATTTCTGAGTAGGATGGGGTATGATAAATATTATTTTTGGGATCCAGTGGTAGCTACTTCAGAAGTAAAAGCTCATGCTGTATAGAATGCATGTCCTCAGAGTGTCACCAACTTTAGGGACACTGCACAACTGCTGCAAAATCGAGGTCTCTGGCTTGTACTTGGCATTTCATTGCATGGAAGATTGAAACCTTCCTTAGACTTCCTTGCCAAATGAATTGCTTGTCATCTCTGCTCTGTGTTTTATGTAAGAAAATAGCAGCATGTCAAAGTTAATTTGGTAAAAGGGGAAAAAAGAGAGGAGCCAGAGTATGTTTGGAGAGCTTAGGGTTAAAATTATTTTTTCTTAAATATGGAATCATCTTTGTGGCTTCCAAGTTTTCAAAGCTCTATAAAAGTCAGACCTTAGTATTCTAAGAATGTTCAGCTCTGTTTTTCTCAGCACCCATGCATGCTAAGGTGGGGGGTGGGTGTCCTTTTTTTTTTTTTTTCATTGTTTTTGTTAGGTGGATTGAGGAACTCTGAAAACTCTGATTGCAGTGGGGTTTGTAAACTGAGCATTTGCCCCTCAGGCACCCTCTACTAACTAATGCTTCATCTAGATGGTATCAGTCAACAAAACCTGTGTTAGTTTTCCACTCTAAGCATCTCTCCATGTGTAGCCTTCACCAGGTGGGCTGTCACCCACCACCAAGCTGGCAGGATCCAGAGGTCTTCTCTCACCTTCCTGCTTCAGGCAGCCAGTGCCTTCTCCACTCTAGTCTCTTCCACAAGAGGAGAAGGGGGCAATAGGCTGCTCACCCAAGGACATCCCCTGGGCAGGCTGCTTCATGTTTGATCCGAATCCTGACCCCACTCTAAGTTGTGATGGCGAGGTGGGGCAACAGCAAAAGGAATCCAACACAAAACAATGAAATGTTGCTTCCATGGACTGCCCTTCTCATCATCTCCAATGCCAACCCAGTGGTGTAGGGCCATACCACCGGAGGAGAGGAGCCAAGAGGACAGGAAAAGCAGATAGTGGCAAGAAAGGTCAGTGCCCAAGTGACGTTCTGGCTTCAGGATGACTAGGTGTTGGCTGTAGAAGCAGAGTTTTATTAAGGCCTAGTGCCAAATTTCCTGGTCTGTGTGTACTGTGTTGTGGTTATAACTACGTAAAGAGATTTAAATCCACATACTCTGGATTTTCGTGTTCTTTGGTTTGGGACAACTGTGTCTTGAGTATTAAATCAAACTCACATGGTTAGAGAAGGCTCTGCTTTTAGCCTGCTAGTACTCTGTTTTGCTTTATTTGTCTTTTTGGTTTACAGTTCAGACATTATCTACACAGATGTGTCCTAGAGGTTTAGTTAACACGGGCAATTTACAGTTTGCTTTAAACTTCTGTTGAGATATACTAAATGGATGAGGTAAATCCCAGGGCACTGCACATCTGGCTTACCCAGGCAATGAAACACACTGAGTGAAACTTCAGGAAATTAAAATATAAACTTCCCTGCCCCTTTTCCTGCAGGGGCAGGAGAGGGGACGGGCCTGCCTGCTTGCATATGCAATTATAGTATGTTAACACTTTCAGTACTCAGAAATACATTGTATTTCCCTCCTGCTTGAGCCTTTCCAGTCAGATAGCAGCATCACCAGTAAATGTGAAGCCTTGGGATTTGTATGTTAATATCCTAGCAGGTAAAAACCTTCCTGTAAGATATACACTGGCATCTGAGAAAGCTGATCATCTGGAAGCCCCCTTTTTGAACTTCTGTCAGCATCTGTCTGCTCT